CCTCGGTAGAGTGCTGTGGCATCACAGCTCACAGCAACCTCAAACTCTTGGGCTCAAGCAATTCTCTTGCCCCAGCTTCCCTTGTTAGCTGGGACGACAGGTGCCTGCCACAATGCCTGGCTATTTTTTGTTTGTTTGTTTGTTTAGCAGGCTCAGGCTGGGTCCAAACCCAGCAGCCCCAGTGCATGTGTCTGGTGTCCTAACTGCTGAGCTATGGGTGCCACGCCGCTTCTTGAACTTTTTTAATTTCATGACACATTTGAACCTATAGTTAAACTTTTCCTTGCACATTTAAATTATATTGATCAAAAAAAGTAAAAAAAGAATATACTTAACTGTGTTTTGAACTTCTTTAATCTTCATATATTTTCATGGCACACCTAAAGATCCTCTCATAGCACACCAGTTGAAAAATCACTGTATTAGACCTAACTTACTTCCAGTGAAAAATGACATATTTATGCCACATTATGTCTGGAAAGTCCCAATTCATCCCGCATTTAATGGACCAAAACACATAGGTCTTTCCTCTCTATATTTTAGGAAGATTCTAACTTTGTCCTTTTTTAAAAAAAAAAGCTAAATAATACTTTTGAAATGAATTTTTACTTGGTGTAAAAATGAGACTTGTGTATTTACGTCTGTATTTACATCTTATGAAGGAGCTTAGTATAAAAATTTGTCTCTGAAGTAGATTTCATCACCTTTTACTTGATTTTTAACTTTAGGCAAATTACTTAATCTCTTTGTGCCTCACTTTCCTCACCTGTAAAAGGGATTGAGTGATCTCTGAGAGTTTTTTTTTTTTTTAAGAGATAGAGTCTCATTTTGTTCCCCTCAGTAGAGTGCTATGGCATCACAGCTCACAGCAACCTCCAGCTCTTGGGGTTAGGCAGTTCTCCTGCCTCAGCCTCCCAAATAGCTGGGACTGCAGGCGCCTACCACAGCATCCGGCTATTTTTTTGTTGTAGTTTGGTCAGGGCCAGGTTTGAACCCACCACTCCTGGTATATGAGGCCGGTGCCCTACTCACTGAGCCACAGGTACCCGCCAATCTCTGAGAGTTTTTATAAGGATTAAATGAGAGACTTGAGCGGTACCTATGGCTCAGTGTAGGGCAGCAGCCCCATATACCGAGGGTGGAAGGTTTGAACCTGGCCCCAGCTAGGTAAAACAGCAATGAGAATTGCAACAAAAAATAGCCAGGCGTTGTGGCAGGTGCCTCTTGTCCCAGCTACTCAGGAAGCGGAGGCAAGAGAATCGCCTAAGCCTAGGAGTTGGAGGTTGCTTTGAGCTGTGTGATGCCACAGTACTCTACCGAGGGCAACAAAGTGAGACTCTTGTCTCAAAAAAATAAAATAAATGAGAGACTTAATGTGCTTTCATTGTGTCCTGTCAAATTGTATTAGGACAGTGTTCCCTGCTATTATTAAAAGTAATGGTTTTTAAGAAAAACATGATGGGTCCAGCACGGTAGCTTATGCCTATAATCCTAGCACTCTGGGAGGCGGAGGCAGGTGGATTGCCTAAGCTCATGAGTTTGAGACAAGCCTGAGCAAGATTGGGTCTCTACTAAAAGTAGAAAAACTGAGGCAAGAGGATCGCTTGAGCCCACGAGTTGGAGGTTGCTGTGAGCTATGGTGATGCCGTGGCACTCTACCCAGGGCAACAGCTTGAAATTCTGTCAACAAAAAAAAAAAAAGCATGATGTTTTTTTTTTTTTTTGAGACAGAGCCTCAAGCTGTCCCCCTGGGCAGAGTGCCGTGGCATTACAGCTCACAGCAACCTCCAACTCCTGAGCTCAAGCGAGTCTCCTGCCTCAGCCTCCCAAGTAGCTGGGACCACAGGCGCCCGCCACAACGCCGGGCTATTTTTTGGTTGCAGCCGTCATTGTTGTTTGGCGGGTCCGGGCTGGGGATTCGAACCCGCCACCTTGGGTGTACGTGGCTAGCGCCTTAGCCGGTTGAGCTATAGGCGCTGAGCCGAAGCATGATGTTTAATGGGATGCTTTTTTTCTTTTTCAATTTACTCACAATGTTTGTAGAAATTCAAGAATAAGGACCTCTCATGTGTTTATTATGATTTTTACTCACTTTATTTTTTCCATGTAAAACAGATGCAGTAAAACGCAGGACTCTTCCAGCTTGGATTCGTGAAGGTCTTGAAAAAATGGAACGTGAAAAGCAGAAGAAGTTGGAAAAAGAGAGAATGGAACAACAACGTTCACAGTTGTCAAAAAAAGAAAAGAAGGCCACAGAGGATGCTGAAGGAGGAGATGGCCCTCGTTTGCCTCAGAGAAGTAAATTTGTAAGTAACATTCCCCTGACATGAAATGTGATAATTTTGTCAGTGTGAAAAGTTTATTTAGATAGATATTTTAGCCTATAGAAAACTACTAATGTTCCTAAAATTCACTAAGTATATTGGGGATTATGTTTTTATGTATGCATTAGTGAAGATGGAGCAAGGAAAAGAAAGGGGGGTCTAGGAGGCTGAGGTAAATGGATCTTTTGAACTCAGGAGTATGAGACCAGCATGAGCAAGAGCGAGACCCCGTTTCTACTAAAAACAGAAAAATTAGCCAGGTGTGGTGGCAGGTGCCTGTATTCCCAGCTACTTGGGAGACTGAAGCAAGAGGATCTCTTGAGCCTAAGAGTTTGAAGTTGCTGTGAGTTGTGATGCCATGGCACACAATGTGAGGAACAATGTGAGACTCTGTCTCAAAAAAAAAAAAAAAAGGCAGGAAGGCAATGGGTTTACAAACATTGCGTTCCAGAAAGAGAGTTCATGGGTTGGTGGATAGGTCTTATCTTGATAAACCAGTATATATTCATTATATGTGGTACATTTAACTCCCTAGTGGTGGATTATAAAACAAAATACATAAAATGGCAATAGAGAAAGAAATCTGCTTTTTATGAATATTTTAATATATACTTATACTTGAGGATGTAATAATTTTTTTGATATGAGAGCTGAAAATAATGTTTTAAGTCTTTGTTCAGTAGATGGCATAAATAGTTTAGGAACTTTTTTATTTAGCAGTTATGTTCTGCTAGATGGTGTGACAGCCACAGCACTGGCTGGTATATAACTCAGGAAATGAGTCTTTCTGCCAAGGCTATTTTCTGCTTTAGAAATAAGGAGAGTAGGTATTTAGATATTGGCAGGTATGGGTTTTGCTTCAATTCCATAAATTACTTGTCTTTTAACTCAAAACCCATTGCCGGCTCTGCGCCTGTGGCTCAAGTAGCTAAGGCGCCAGCCACATACACCTAAGGTGGCGGGTTTGAATCCAGACCGGCCCGCCAAACAACAGTGATGGCTGCAACCAAAA